CGAAGAAAAGGAGGAAAAAGATGTGAAAAGACTATTGTTGCTGACCAGGCAATAGCCGAGGTCTTTGCGTGTAGTGGTTTTACTAGGGTGGTTACACTTCAGATAGCTCCTCGACAGGAATCACATTGTCCGCGTAGGCAAAGTTGAAGGCGTAAAGCTCTGCTATGTCGCTCTTGCGCTTAATGATCTTGCACCTGATAAGGTTGATTCCAGGACTGGGAAGTGGAGTCAGACCAGAAAGCGTAGGGACAGTGCTGAACATGCCGTTAGGCAAAGGTTCATTCTGGCACTTGATGCCCAAAAGTGTGGATGCATTCCTGTTGTTCTTTTCGGCCCGGGTGTTACATGTTAAGTGAAGAAGAGGTCAATGGAACGACGGACATGCGTGGCTTCGTCCGTAGGTCTGTCTGTGCGTGCCAGTGTGGTGTGAAGGGGCATGGTGTTGTTTTCACGTGTTTTTCCACGAGAAGTTTATCTCTTTGTGGGCTGCTTGTGAAATGCGAGGAGGGGCTACCCTGTCTCAGCATGACCGAATCTTTGCAATTCAAAGGTGGTTGAACAACTTCGATTTGTCACGCAGGTAATTGCAAACACACACACACACACTCCTGATACGCTCAGGAACTGCTGGTTGATGTGGACTGGTCTCTTCCCTTAACTGAGGTTTCATTTCCACGTTTATTTCTCTCTTTAGGGAGAAGGGGTCTCTGGCCGATAGGCTGAGCCTCTTTGGGTTTCTCTCGGGATTCTGGCCGATAGGCTGGGTTCCAGGCTTGCCTTTGCGCATGGCAGGCGCTGGCGGGATGGGCTGCGGAAGCCGAAGCGCGGACCCTCCGCGGGCTCAATGGGAGCTGCAGAAGGCACTGAACATCGACAAGCCCAAGGCAGTGGCTGAGCTGCAATCAGTGAGGACAAGCTGGAGAAGTCGCCTCTTGAGCGGTAAGGTCAGGCTCTACTGGGAGATCAGGACTGCCGCGATAGTGGCTGAGATGAAGAATCAGGGTGTGGAGGTGACGGAGATGAGTGCCCTCCACATCGCCACATGCGCGGCGGTTCCCACGGATCCAGCATTCCTCGTGCCCTACGATAGGTGCGCGAACGAGGTAGGGATTGGTCAATTCAATCGTCCTCTTCAGGTAGATGAAGGAATCGCGCTGGCCATTCGGCCATGCAGCGGACATTGGGTTGGAAAGACGGCTGCCAGTAAGGGGTGGTCAGACAGAACTCCCTTAGGTGCGGATGGTGGCAGGCGCCGGGGAGCCGAAGCCGATATACCAGCGAGACGACTTCGGTGACGCTGAGTACCTCGATAGGGACATGATCCACTGGGATAGACCACATTTGTTGAACATTCCGGTGAAGCGAAGAGCTGCACTGACGTGATGACGGATGGGCTTACTTCGACATGGATCCTGAGCGATGTGCTGCTGCCCGTCTACCCGTTCATTGTTCTGCAGGAGATCACGAAGGGTCAGGAGACGTTGTTCACGGTTCTCAGGTGCCTCGCTGCCTGCGGTTCAGCTAGGTGCTAGCTCGAGGATAGCGGCGATAGCTGCCAGAGTCGAAGGCGCACTCTGATGCGACTGTGTTCTACCTGCTAGACCAGACGTTTGACACCGTCTCCGGGAAGAAGAAGAAGAAACGTTAGTAGCTGAGAGGGCTCGGAACGATAAGGTAAGGATATGAGCTCATCTACATGACCCATCCCCGTGATAACGAGGAGGTCACGCTCAGGATGATGGTCGATAAAGCTCACGGGCTCATCGAGAAGAGAACCAACGAATGCAGGGACAAGTTTGGCGAAGGAAGTTTCGCGAGCTGCAAATTTGGCAGTGGGAGAATAGCGGAAGGAGGGCGAAGTCGAATGCGCAGGTCACATGGTCCGGAGACGTGGAGGCCGTGGCGCGGCTCCAAGCATGCAAGGGTGGTTGTGTGCGGTCCTGGCCGCTTGTTAGAACGGGACGAAGATGCGTCCGAAGTCTCCACCGTTGGCACCAAGGGTTGCTTCCGGGGCGTGGAGCCGGAGCCTTCCACCAACCGGTGTCCAATAACACGGCTTCCATCTTTGGCGGAGTCTGGCACGGAGGTGAGCAATCGCTGGTCCGTATCGTGGGAGCTGCCGGATGACCAGTGTCCCGGACAGTGCCGACTGCGCAGGAGCTCAACGAGTTCACCGAGGCGCCGGAGGATGCCGACGTTGATATGGGCTAGCCCTGCTCCGACTAAGGTAACGAGCTCTTCGATTCTGAAGTTTGACGCCGCTGACGGTGATTTGCGGGATGCCGCAACGGTCCGGTCGGAAACTACGGCGCCGAGCCCTGTGAGCAACTATGTGGGCACGCCTTACCCGAAACACCCCGGGGAGGCTCCTGAGCTTGCTGGTCCTGACGTTAGGCGCCACGCCGAGTCACGGGCGTGCCTGATGTCCCGTGGTTCAAGAACCTCGGCCAAGCCAGCGGAGGCTACGCCCAGCGGCGCAGTCCACATGTGAAGCAATCGCCGTGATGGTTCCATCAGAAGGTAAGGAGCCCAACCAGAAGAGGAATGCGCTGAGCAGTCTGCGCATTCAGGTGCGTAGCCACACCTGAACCGTGAAGGCACCACAAATCGTCCCTATCGCAAATTCTGTGGCCCATGTTCTTCCTGGTCCTCATGCAGAAGACCTCCTGTCACGCGGGTTGCTGTACTCTGCGTCGATTTTGCCCATCGCCCTGGCAGCGTCAATCGTGGCGTAGTGGATCTCATCCTTCTCGCTATTGCGAGATGGGATGGTGATGTGACCAATCTCATGAGCCCTTAGCCCACTCCTCGGGAACGGCTCTCCCGCCTCCCGCGCCAGCACGTGATTGGTGACGAACATCCGATTGGGGATGCCGATGGTTCACCCGCGGGAGCGACTGCGATGTTGGAGAAGTTGCAGAAGTACTTCAACTCGTTGAACGAGACTGTCTTGGGCAAGAGAGGCACCGCACCTGCGCTGTCCCCAGGCGAAGAGATGTCGGACACTTTTTCTCAGACGGCGGTGGAGGTCGTGAAATCTCATGTTTTGGCGCTGTCCCACTCAGGATCCGGAGCAGATGATCCGGAATTGGCACCTGGCCCGCTCAAGCCGAAGACCAAGATCCAATGGGGCAAGAGGCCAGAGCAAGGTGATGATGACGAGTCTCAGCAAGGACAAGGATGCGGATTTGCCAGACCTTTCCAAGTTGTCCATGGAGGAGAGGAGCGACAGCGTGGAGGTGGACGAGGTGGGCCAAGAAGGAGGCCGCGAAGGCGCCGGCGCCCGAAGCTTGGATGCCGAGCAAGGGCAGGAGAAGAAGGCGGTGCCTGAAGGGAAGATGCAACGGGAGGATTTGTTTTGTGGCTTGTTTACCCCAACTAACCCATTGCCTGGGCACAGGCCCGTATTTAACTCCACGGATGCCTCTGTAAAGTGGGATGCGCAGAATGACTTTGCCACGTAGGTTGCTGAGCTTGGCCTGGCCCGCAGTGCCGGAGCCAGTTTGTCCAGTTGCTGACACGCTTCAAACGGCACACTCGCTTCAGCTAAAGTTTGCCGCCTAGACAGTAGCATTTTTCCGGCAGAAGAGCAGCAACTACACAGCAGACCAGAGGCTTCCCGCGAACACGGCGATGTTGTGGAATCGGCGCTTTTAAAAATACTGAACACAACGCAGCGCGCTTTTTGCAGGGCGCTGTTGGGTGTTGCTGCGGGGCTGCGGCTCCTTGGGCAACACTGCGACGGCACGCTGCAACAGCACCCTACAACGGCACCCTGCAACAGTACCCTGCAACAACACCCAGCGAAAGCACGCTGCAACAGCGCCCCGCAACAGCACACCGACCCCTTCTTTGCGTAAAGTTAGAACCCCCATAGCTTTCAGCGATCAAGAGGAACACGTTCACACACACACACAAACGCGTATGTCACGCATACTACGCATATACACGATGCCGCAACTTCAGGATTATCAGAAAAAGGTGTTCCGCTGTAAGTTTCCCCGTGTTGAGTCAAATTAAGCCGCAGGCTCCACTCCTGGTGGTGCCCTTCCGTCAATTCCTTTAAGTTTCAGCCTTGCGACCATACTCCCCCCCGGAACCCAAAGACTTTGATTTCTCGTAAGGTGCGGGAACGAACAAACAAACAAGCAAGCAAACACAAACACAAACACAAACACAAGCGCACAAACACAAACAAACAAAACCCACACACGCGCGCGCCAGAGCCAGACACGCACGCAAGCGCAAGCACATGCACCCGCCCGTGCAATGGCATGCGCGCGTGCTCGTCCACACACGTGATCACACGTGTGTGTGCAAGCTCATGCGCACGCCCGCATGCAACGGCGCACCAGTCGCTCGCAGGCGTGCGCGGAGCTTCTACAGGACCTGGAAGACTAGCTTAGCTGGCTCTAGAAATGCCAGAATGGCACCCCATGGGCGCGCAGGATGCCGGCAAAGGGTTTACCGGGCACGTAACGAATTTGCAGCGCCGCAGTGAGAGCGCTTCGAGGCCTGCGATCGCTGTGTAGGGTTCGTCAGGCGCTGCACGCGTCGCGGAAAGCGTGGAGAGCGATAGGGGGCTCGCCAGGAGTAGAATGAATGCAGCCCACACAGCAAAGTGTCAATGCAATGAACAGAATTCGCAACACTGCTCACGAAACCTACTTAGTTTTGCGCTCTTCTGGCGCCGCTACAAAGAGGACTCCTAGAACATGCGCAGGCGCGCGCAGAACTGAAGTTTGTTGCAAGATTTAGCATGAATCCCTGCTTGCGAATCCTTTGCTTCAAGTGTCCAGCCGGCCAACCGAACTAGGCAACAACACGTGTGAAACAGACCAACCAGCGCCGGTTGAAGGATCGACGTCCGTAGATGGTTCGGGGGGGCACAGGTATTCGCATGGCTTATGAGAAGTTTGGGCTTCGCAAGTCGCTTGTCATGAGCCTGCCGGCCAGCCCTGAACAAAAACCAAAAAAAACATGGATGGGGATGCCCGCAGGCCTCCGATCAGTGACAATGGCCGTGGCGTTGCTGTTTTTTTTGAAGCCTTGGAGACTTTGGCCTACCAGGCGTGCGCTGAGTTCTCGCTGTGGTTACCGGAGGTCAACATACAGCCATGATTTTTTCTGCAGCCGGATACTCACACATATAATAATTTATGTATACAATATATATATATATATGGCTGTGGGTCAAAAATAGGTACCCAAAACGGAACCCTGGCAAATGGAAACATGGACTAAAACCCGCAGTCCCATCGTGGTTAACTGCGCATACTTTATATATATATATATATATATGTATGCATATCTATATAGATATATAGGTATTTATTTGTTTAATTATTTGTTTATATATTTATTTATTGTACTCCCCCTTGCATGGACCCAGACTTCGTGAGTTCTACTATGTTTTCCATGTTTCATGTTTTTGGTTTTTGCGGCAGAATTGGGGGGGGAGATATCCAACATTAGTCCCTGATTTCTATGAGCTCCCTTCAATATGTAGCCTTGGAAACCTGGAAGGTTGCGACAGCACTAGATTCAAGATTCGATGAGCAAAACAATCCGTGGATTCAAGATTCACGAGTCCATTTTTCCTCAGATTATTGAACCTTGAATCCCGTATTTGTTTAGCAATGGTGCCATCATTTGCCGTTTGCATGCACACACCCTGTTGAGTAATTGGGCCTCCTTGCTAGAATGGATTTCCTAATTGAGGATCCTGGGGTTGTTTTGTGGTCCTCCAGTGTAGAACGTGTTTCCCATATTTTGGGGGAATAACCATTGCAAATGCACGCCTTCTTTTTTTCCAAATCTTCGATCCAGGGGATCATGATCTGGGCAAATGCTAAAAAATACTGCGGTGTACAGCTTTTTGTGCCAAGAAAGGGATCCATGTTTGTAGACTTTTCTGTTGTTGGCTTGGCTCAGTTCTTGCTTGGTTCAAGTCCTTTGAGCTTTGATAAGGACAAACCTTTTTGAACATGAACTTGATTACTCGAAATGCACAAATAACTGCAACCGGTTAATATTAATTTTGGTTTCAGTTCGACACACCATTTTAGACTGGCGGTTCTTGCTGATTACTTTTGATTATTCTGAACAGATGCTATTGACAAGGATTAAGTCGAATCAGATACGCACTACACACATGTTAAAAAAGAAAAAACAAGGCAAGTAGCAGAAACAAAATGAGGAAGTAGTTCCTTGTCCCAAATCGATGGTTTGCCGAGCTTCCCTTCAAAGAAACAACAACAAGAAACAACCAGCAGAGTTGTTGCAATCATGCTGAAGCTGCTAAAGTGCACTTCGGGTACTACTCTTGTGATGAACCTCGCATTTTCGAGCTGGAACTGCCAAAGGGTACTTTGCCTACTACATGTGTAGTGAAAATGTTACCTTTGAGCTGCTTCAATAGCAACCCTTTTCGAAATTGAGGTTCTGGGTCCATGAACGGGGGGGCTTGGAATATATGTTGTGTCTGTACAAATTTAGGTTTTTTTGCATATTCATATGTGTATAAATTCATATACACATATCAGTGCTTTAGCTTTGACATACATGCGTAGACAACTGGACTTGCACGGTTCCAGAACCAAAGATGCTTTGGAGGCCATTTCTGTGGGCGCCGCTTTCTCAGCCTGCCTTGCAATCAGTGTTGCGTAGTCGCTGGTTTCACTCGAGGCTCAGCAAAGTACAGAGGACTACGTTACGCCTGGGTCATGCAAAGCAACTCCAAGCGGTTTTGTTTCCCTTGTCTCGCAGGAAGGATCAGCTACGCTGGCAAAAAGCGACTGGAGAGGCCTGCCGCCGTCGGACCCACTGCCCCTTTAGCTTTCAATGGGATTTGTTCATTTGAGAGGGCTCTTTCTGATTCTAGAATATTGGCTCAGGGTGTGCCAAAATACCTAGTTAACCCCCCCCCCTCTCAAAAAAACAAACAAACAAACACCGGCGTCCAGGAACCACATGCCAGGAAGCTGTTGCCAGGAATTGCCAGGAGCCTGTTGCCAGGATCTTGGCGTATGCCAGGGGCCGGAGACTTTCCTGACATGCCAGGCATCGGCTTCACCCTGAGAAGCATTGCCAGGTACTGCCAGGACATGCCAGGTACTGCCAGGTACTTTCGGAGGCAAGCGAAAGACCAATGGCGAAGAGTGGCGAAAGAAGCGAGTGATGGGAAGTGAGATGGGTTGGGGCGAAGCGAAGAAAACTGCGCGTTCCCAGCATGCTTTTAAGGGATTGTATGGATTGACAAGTGCCCCCGATAGGTGGTCCTCTATTCCTTTCTCATTTCTTGTCCTCATGTACCTGAGGGTTCGTTCGCCGGGGCAGTTTTCTCCAAGCTTGGCGTGTCACCTGCAATCAGCCAGGATGTTCGCAAAGCTGATATGCATGAAAAAGGGGCCCGGTGCTCCGATGCTCCGCCGCTGCCGCTGCGAGTGACTGCGAATGGCTGCTTTCAAATTCGTGCACATTGGCACGCTCCCGGCTAATTCCTTTTTTTTTTGCAACAGTGCCCCATTATTAAATGATTACCTCATTTTGGCGGGTATTCTGAACTTGCCTTGGGCATCTATTTGTTCTGCCAGGTTGGGGGTCGATATGAAGGCAGCATGTTGCCCGAAGTCATGTCTCTTGCCACTTCGCACAAGTGGCCTCTTCCGCACATCAGCTCGAGCAATAATTAAGCTGCAGAAGGGGACCTGTTCCCTGCCGCGAAATGGTGAACCAGCCCCCTCCCCGAGGACTCCTATATCCAATCCCTAATGTTCCTAGCGAGTCTTCCTACCCAACTTTTCCCTATGACCTCCCCAAGTTGATCTTAGTGTTTTTTTTGTTTTTGAATCTTGAAGAATGATTAAAAAGTCGCTTGACGGTGGCCGTCCCAATGACGACACTTCCGATCAAGCAAGCCAGGAGCAGGGCCCATCAGAGCTGCATTGGGCTATTGTTTGCTGCTTGCATTAACTCTGTCAGTCAGACAAAGTAGTCCATATTCAGGTTCGCAGAGCAAGTTGGTTCAATAAATTTGGGCTGTGAACCCTCAAATCTTTGCGTGCCGTTGGGGAGGGAGCCTTAGGAAGGCTTCGGGAGAGCTTAGGGAGTCGATGGGGAGAAGGCTGGATCTTGCAATTTTGGAAAACGCGCCAAGAAGACGAAGCGAGTGTTTTTCGGTCTGCCATGAGCTCGTTTTTTTGGCTGACAGCCTCTCCCCAACAATTCCCTACGGCCCTACGCACCTCCTAAGAGGTATCGTCAAAGCGCAGCCTCATGCTTCAAAGCCGGGGGGTACCACTTCATAATACTGCCTTTGCTATCAGGGTTCCTTGAATGTGTGGCATTGGCTCAAAAGCCCTGATTCGGGCAGCTTACCACGCCTGAGAAACACCAGGCAGGTTGCACAGTTGTTTGATTGATGTGATTTTGTTTTAAGCATCGCCTTTGAAAGACACAGGCCGCTCGCTGGCCATGATCCGCTGCAGCCACAGCATAACTGCCATGCATGGACCAACTTGTAGCTGCGGTTCCCGAGGCATCCTCAGTCTTTGTGTTGTCCGGGCGTTGGGTCACACTCATGCTGGCCATGCGGGCCAACATGTTTCACATCTCCAGGCTTTGCTGTTGACTGACAGTTCGGCCACGAATTGGTCTGATTGCACGTGCAGGCGATGAGTGTCGAATCCAACGGCGATGTTGGGTGTGGCTCTTGAAGACTTGTTTTCCTCAGCCAGTATGGCGCATAGCGCTTTCGGAGGGCCGGGCCATGCTTCATGGTGACAGTGGCATGTGCTGTCCTCTGTGGTTTGGCTGCAGGTCTAGGCTTATGCGAGCACACCTAGACGAGAGAGGTCGCTGACTGCTGCAGAATGCTTTACACAATTTAGCAAGCCAGGTGATGCACATCAAGCCGAGATGTTGGAGGCCTCAGGGTGTCGTTGCCCACTCTGCTGTGGGTGAATGTGCCCTGCCAGTGGGCATTTCCTGGCACAAAAGCGATATGAGGATTGGTGGATTCATACCCTACGCGCATGTTCTAACTTCAGCTGAGTTAGGCCCAGCTTCTCTTCATTCGAATGCGGCACGTGCCAGATTCCAATGCCTTCTGCATCAGATGTTGCGTACAAGGCCCGCTCGCGTCATGCTTCGTTCTTGGCCAGGCTGTCACGTGGCCACTCCTGTACAGGCCATGGACATCACCTTTGGCACCACTGGCATGACCGAGGAGGACCCGACGGAAAGTAGCGAGCAGGATTTGGAGGGAGGACTGACATCAAAGGAGGGCCCTTTTTTTACATTCTTTTTTGGTTTCTTGCTATGAATGTCGTCATCCGCGCCGCTCCCTCGTTCTGCTCCTCCGCCGCCGCCTCTGCTTCGCCCTCCTACTTCTTCCTTCTTCTCACTGATTTACGCATACCGACTCTCACTCACCCAACCTACATTAACTTTCAACACTTTCACTTCCCCTCCCTCCACCTACTCACTCAGCCTACAGTACACTCACTGACGCTCGATTGCGTTGCAGGCGCAGTTCTTTTGACTGGTTGGTTCGGAGCGGTCGGGTTGGGGCTTGGGCGGGCCTTTGCGTGGCAGCTGCCGTGCTCGACCAACCCTAAGCCAGCACTAAACCAGCACTAAATCACCCTTAAGCCTTAAGCCACCAACCTACCCTGGGGCGGGCTTTTGGGCCTCCTTTCGGGGCAAAGCTGCACACCTCTCTCGCCGCGCCAGCCAAATGGACTGCCCCAACACCCACCCATAACCAACCCTCAAGCTAACTTGAGCCCGCTGGTGATGCTGAGGGTGTTGAAAAACTATGCTGAAGATGTTCAAACGAGTGGGGATGTTGGCCGGTGTAAAGCGAGTGCATTTTGTTAGACGCCAGGAGTCTGAATTAGATCTCGACCCGAAAGAAGGCTAGACGGGAAATGCCGGAAGTGGGAAGTTGCCGAAGGATATCTAATTAGAGCAAATCATAAAGTGATCAGAAAGAGGAAGGTTGCGAGAAGCACAGAATGATGCAATTGATACGTAGAGGGGAGGGAAGCAGACGTGCATGGTAGGACTACCCATACGCCACAACCTCAGATGCAAATACTGACAATCCAGGCAAGCTGATCCAATCGTTGTGAGGCGTGCCTTTGCGACGCGGAAGGTATTTGTAGCAAAGATCCGTGGACACCTCAGAACAATGCCTGGGGCGCGTCTTCACACCTGGATCCGATATCCGACTATATCGATCCACCTGACCCGTGGCCCAGTGGCCACTGCTCAGGGCTCAGACTATCTGCAAGATGCGGGCTGGGCAGCCCAACGGGGCAGCAAGATTCGGCTTACAGGCAGGGAAGGGCCTTGGCAGTTTGCTGACATGGCACCTGCGCAGTGCGGTTTTGCGAGGCTTTGCCTTTCATTTGGCTCCTTGCAGTGATCCCACTTGCAGCTTAGAATCTCTCATCCTCAGTCTACGGCGGTGCGTGTGAAAATCAGCACTCAACTTGCGAGATGTTGTAGGCCTTGTCTATCATTTTGTTAGTGGCATTGAACTGCACTTGTCCTTCTAAGCTTTAGTGCTTCGGGATCAGGTCGCGAACGTTTTTGAGGTTTTTTTTTTCCGCTGCACACGCAGCTCATTGCGTCTGTTGCCAGGACTTTTGCAGGGACCCCTCGAAATGGTGAGACCCCAAAATGGCTTGAGAGGAATGCTACGTGTGATCGTCATACACTTGCCTCAATGTTGTTGACGCGTCCAGTTGCGGCACGCTGAACAATGCTGGCGGACAAGTAAGACATGCATGCCCTTGCCTTATCTCAACGTTGAGACCTACCGCCTCGTGATGCCTTTGCTATCAGGGTTCCTTGAATCTGTGGCATTGGCTCAAAAGCCCTGATTCGGGCAGCTTACCACGCCTGAGAAACACCAGGCAGGTTGCACAGTTGTTTGATTGATGTGATTTTGTTTTAAGCATCGCCTTTGAAAGACACAGGCCGCTCGCTGGCCATGATCCGCTGCAGCCACAGCATAACTGCCACGCATGGACCAACTTGTAGCTGCGGTTCCCGAGGCATCCTCAGTCTTTGTGTCGTCCGGGCGTTGGGTCACACTCATGCTGGCCATGCGGGCCAACATGTTTCACATCTCCAGGCTTTGCTGTTGACTGACAGTTCGGCCACGAATTGGTCTGATTGCACGTGCAGGCGATAAGTGTCGAATCCAACGGCGATGTTGGGTGTGGCTCTTGAAGACTTGTTTTCCTCAGCCAGTATGGCGCATAGCGCTTTCGGAGGGCCGGGCCATGCTTCATGGTGACAGTGGCATGTGCTGTCCTCTGTGGTTTGGCTGCAGGTCTAGGCTTATGCGAGCACACCTAGACGAGAGAGGTCGCTGACTGCTGCAGAATGCTTTACACAATTTAGCAAGCCAGGTGATGCACATCAAGCCGAGATGTTGGAGGCCTCAGGGTGTCGTTGCCCACTCTGCTGTGGGTGAATGTGCCCTGCCAGTGGGCATTTCCTGGCACAAAAGCGATATGAGGATTGGTGGATTCATACCCTACGCGCATGTTCTAACTTCAGCTGAGTTAGGCCCAGCTTCTCTTCATTCGAATGCGGCACGTGCCAGATTCCAATGCCTTCTGCATCAGATGTTGCGTACAAGGCCCGCTCGCGTCATGCTTCGTTCTTGGCCAGGCTGTCACGTGGCCACTCCTGTACAGGCCATGGACATCACCTTTGGCACCACTGGCATGACCGAGGAGGACCCGACGGAAAGTAGCGAGCAGGATTTGGAGGGAGGACTGACATCAAAGGAGGGCCCTTTTTTTACATTCTTTTTTGGTTTCTTGCTATGAATGTCGTCGTCCGCGCCGCTCCCTCGTTCTGCTCCTCCGCCGCCGCCTCCTCTTCCTTCACGTGACTTAACCCTCCTCCTTCTTCCTTCTTCTTCTACTTGTATTCACTCAAGTTTCACTCACTGACTTACACATACCGACTCTCACTCACCCAACCTACAACCTACAGTACACTCACTGACGCTCGATTGCGTGACAGGCGCAGTTCTTCTGACTGGTTGGTTCGGAGCGGTCGGCTTGGGGCTTGGGCGGCGGAACTGTTTGCGTGGCGGGCCTGTTTGCGTGGCAGCCGATGCTGGCTTGCTTGGCAGGCGCCTGACTTTGCACACACCTCTATTTCTTTGCGTGGTACTAACTCACACACTAGCTTTCGCATACTTTCTTTCCCTCACCCAACTTACACTCGCTCACTGTCAACCACTCTCACTCACTCAACTTACGCATACTTTCTCTTGCTCACGCAGCCTACGCTCACCATCTTACACATGCCTCGCTGACTCAACTTACGCGCAACAGCCAACAAGCCAGCCCGGAGAAAAACAAGCAGAAGCATCGGATAACATCGGAGAATCCCACATGCCTAGCTCTTTGCAAAAGAAATGAGTGGACAAGCATTCGTAAAAGCGAGCGTATGTTGCATGAAAGAAAGAATACGAAAGTTAGCTTTTGGCGGCTTTTGCAGCTTTGTCTTTTCACATGCTCAGCATCACCAGCAACAGCCGAAGCACCCACCAGCATCAGAAGCATAGAGCTGCTTCCTGTGCAACATGTCATTGCTTTGGCTAACTTGAGCCCGCTGGTGATGCTGAGGGTGTTGAAAAACTATGCTGAGGATGTTCAAACGAGTGGGGATGTTGGCCGGTGTAAAGCGAGTGCATCTTGTTAGTTTCTAACGATGCAATTGATACGTAGAGGGGAGGGAAGCAGAAGTGCATGGTAGGACTACCCATACGCCACAACCTCAGATGCAAATACTGACAATCCAGGCAAGCTGATCCAATCGTTGTGAGGCGTGCCTTTGCGACGCGGAAGGTATTTGTAGCAAAGATCCGTGGACACCTCAGAACAATGCCTGGGGCGCGTCTTCACACCTGGATCCGATATCCGACTATATCGATCCACCTGACCCGTGGCCCAGTGGCCACTGCTCAGGGCTCAGACTATCTGCAAGATGCGGGCTGGGCAGCCCAACGGGGCAGCAAGATTCGGCTTACAGGCAGGGAAGGGCCTTGGCAGTTTGCTGACATGGCACCTGCGCAGTGCGGTTTTGCGAGGCTTTGCCTTTCATTGGGCTCCTTGCAGTGATCCCACTTGCAGCTTAGAATCTCTCATCCTCAGTCTACGGCGGTGCGTGTGAAAATCAGCACTCAACTTGCGAGATGTTGTAGGCCTTTTTCCAACGTTGGCATGAAGGCGGTTTTCCCAATTGCAGAATAATGGAGAAGATGGTGTGCACACCAGGGTGCCACAAGTTCGATTCCAGGTTCTGGCGCTTGTTGACAAAGTTTAGACTTTTATATTGCGACGTTGCTGGTTTGCAAGCTTTGGACAAATGCCGTGGCGGTTCACTATTACGTTCAAGGCGTCGAGAAAGAATGAGGATCCCCACAACAACTGTATCCCGAAGGATTGGCTCTTTTGCAAGCACAGCCAGCTTCAGTTTGCCGCTTCTGTGGCTTATCTACACTCTGTGGCAAGTGAAACAGGCTTGAGACAAAGCCAAGCAACTACAATCCAGGAGGAACGCTCCAACTGCCTCAAGACGCACACTGACATCCTGTTTCATGTGCGTCTCTGACAAGTACAGAGGGATGTTTCCACACTGGCTGACCCGGCGACTCGAAGGCCCAAAGCTTGCCATCGGATGTGCGCCGTTCGCTCAACGGACGGTCGCAAGCAGCAATGCTCTAGCTAGCCACATTGAGCCAGGAAAAAGGCCCAGGTGAGGGAAGATGGTGGAGGAGGATAGTCCCGATCAGAAATGGGTCGGGCCGCCATATTTTAACCAGGTTTTGATTACGACGAAACAGTCACACTTCGCAGTAGCCAGGGGCTGCCCCCTTCAAAGCCAGCCATGGTGCATGCCATGCCTGCAGTGGAGGAGGAAGAAGAGGACCGGACTGGCTTGACAGGGGCAGGTGGGCAGTGAAAGGTGCAGATTTGAAAGTGCGAAGAAGAGGAAAGAGTATACCAGTGACAGTTTGCGTACTTTGCCCAACAAGCATTGAGCCCAGACAGCGAGCGCTCTTCCAGACGCACAAGTTAGTGGCCAGAGTGCAGTGCAAAATAATTTTGGACAACAACACCTCATTTGAAGGGTTGGCCTAGTTCTTCAAGGTTGCAGGCTTTGTTTGCGCACGTACTCAGCAAGTCTGTTCATTGCAACTGTCTCTTCTGGTGGCCCTTTGCAACTCGCTACATAGATTTATGCTTGGTATTTCTTCATACCTGTTCTGCCCATTACACGTTGTGCTACTGTGTTTTCGCGTGTGAAACGCTTCGTGCTTCTAAAGTCGGAGGAGGAGATGTCTCTACGACCACTCTTCGAAGAGCGGCTGGGGCAGCCGAGCTCTGAGCTTCTGCAACTGGACCTGGGCCCAGGCCTCGACTCCCTAAATTGCCACAAGCAGAAGTACCACAAGACTAACGCACCACGCAACATAGATCCATCTTGGGCCAGCCCGCAGTTTTGCCAACCTATTGGCCAGGCGGTTGGCTCATTCAGACGTGGCCCCTCTTTCGCCAGGACTCCGCTTTCGCCTGGCCCAGCGCCCGGACGCCTTCAGCCAGGGACCGCTGCGCTCGCTGGCCCGGAGCGCGGCCGCGAGTCCTACAGAGCAGGTGCGTGGCCTGGGATGCCTCGCTCGCACTTGCAGGCGCGAGGTCAAAAGTCAAAGGGTCTGGAGCAAAGATGCCAACATATGCCAACGGTCTTCGCTGGTGGGATAGATGCGTTTGGCAGTTGAACGGTTTAGTGAAAGGCCACGACGAGACACAACTGTTCCAAGCGATCTCATGTGGAGGACTGTGGAGGAGCATGGGAGCACATGAGGCCACAATCCCGCATCGGTGAGGTGCTGGAATGCACAACGCAAGATGTCCACATGACAACCCGAGTCTGCGCCGGGCGCCCTGCCATGCTTTGCAACGGGGGCACCATTCCTAGACCCTCCGTGTCCTTCCTGTAGGAGTGACACGGAGCATGAATATGTGTTTTGCTCGGTGGCCCTCGAAGTAATCACAAGGTCTGAGGGTTGCGGTTTTAGAGCTGGAGCTGCCAAAGTGCATCGTGCAACTGCGCTATAGGAGCTCAAGCTGCAAAAGTGCACGTTGCGATGAAGAAGTCTCCAGAGGCGTTAGACCCACCACCGGGAAACTAGACGACGAGTGGCCCGGAAGCATAGAGGCAAGTTGATGCAGGTGAGGTAACTCTCGCAAAGTTAGCATGAGGAGTTGGCAGGCGAAGCAATTCTCAAAAAGTTGGCATGAGAACCTGGCAGGTTAAGTAACTCTCGAATAGTTGGCTGGCAAAGTTGGCGGGTGAAGTAATTCTCGCAAAGTTGACATGAGAAGTTGGCAGGCGAAGTAACTCAAGAGAAAAGTTGGCATGAGAAGTTGGCAGGTGAAATAACTCTCAAAGAGTTGGCATGAGAAGTTGGCAGGTGAAGTAACTCTCGAAAAGTTGGCGTGAGAAGCTGGCAGGTGAAGTAATTCTCGAAAAGTTGGCACGAGAAGATGGCGCGTGAAGTAACTCTCGAAAAGTTGGCGTGAGAAGCCGGCAGGTGAAGTAACTTTCGAAAAGTTAGCATGAGAAGTTGGCAGGCGAAGTAATTCTCGAAAAGTTGGCGCGAGAAGTTGGCAGGCGAAGTAACTCTCGAAAAGTTGGCAGGCGATGTTGGCAGGTGAAGTGCCTCTCGAAAAGTTGGCATGAGAAGCTGGCAGGTGAAGTAATTTTTCGAAAAGTTGCCACGAGAGGTTGGCAGATAAAGTATTTCTCGAAAAGTTGGCATGAGAAAGGTAGTTTCTCGAAAAGTGGCATAGAGAAGTTGGCAGGTGAAGTAACTCTCGAAAAGGTGGCATGAGAAGCTGGCAGGTGAAGTAATTCTCGAAGTTTCGGCATGAGAAACTGGCAGGTGAAGTAATTAACCCTCAAAAAGCTGGAGCGGCGGAGGCGCTCCGCGTGCTACATTTGCAATTTACAGTTGCGATTTTCCAGCCATTTGTATCTAAAAGTTGCGATTTTCCAGCCGGAGCTGCGGGAGCACGCTCCGCGTACTACGTCTGTACTTAAAAAGTGCGATTTTCCAGCCGGAGCTGCAGCAGCCTCCGCGTACTACGTCTGTACTTAAAAGTTGCGATTTTCCAGCCGGAGCTGCAGGAGCACGCTCCGCGTACTACGTTTGTACTTAAAAGCTGCGATTTTCAAGCCGGAGCTGCCGCGGACCAGGGGGGAATCGAACCCGGGACCGCGGGATTGCGAAAGCAGGCGCGCGCACCACGAGACAACTTCCAAAAGCCGTTTCGCGAGCAAGAAAATCGCACGGCGCCACAACGAGAGCGCTTCGACAGGCACGATCTCCGCAGAGGGTTCATCGGGCTCAAGACAGATGCGCACGGCGCCACAGCGAGAGCGATCCGACACGCACGAAGGGTTCATCGGGCTCAAGACAAATTCGGCGCCACAGCGAAAGCGCTTCGACACGCACGATCCCCGCAGAGGGTTCGCCGAGGTCAAGACAAATTCGCACGGCGCCACAGCGAGAGCGCTTCGACACGCACGATCTCCGCAGAGGGTTCGCCAAGGTCAAGACAAATTCGCACGGCGCCACAGCGAGAGCGCTTCGACACGCACGATCTCCGCAGAGGGTTCGCAAAGGTCAAGACAAATTCGCACGGCGCCACAGCGAGAGCGCTTCGACACGCAGGATCTCCGCAGAGGGTTCGCCAAGGTCAAGACAAATTCGCACGGCGCCACAGCGAGAGCGCTTCGACACGCACGATCTCCGCAGAGGGTTCGCTGCGCTCAAGACAAATTCGCACAGCGCCGCAGCGAGAGCGCTTCGACACGCACGATCTCCGCAGAGGGT